TGATATGCATTGAGCAAGACAAGGGACCATCTGACTCTGAGGTAATTGTTTTCTGACATAGCCAGTTTTATATTTATCACAAAGCTATACACACACACCTATAAAAGAATACAAAGCTTCTCAAAGGGCCTTTGCTCAAAACGTCGAGAGGCTTTCAGCCATTCTATTTAATGTCCACCAACCCCCTATTGACGATTTTTCTGAAGGGTGACTCCAAAGGCATTTCTGATGTGAGGGGAAATTTCTGTTGGGTGTTTTGTGTTGACACTTTGATCTTTTTTCTTAAAAGGTTAAAATTTTACTGACTTCATCCATAGGGGCGCTGTGGATTTTAAATGGAATGGCCCTTTGTATATAGGCATGCATGTTTATACTCATTAACCATTTGTGTCGGCACTTAACCGATCAGCTGGCAATAGCATTTTACTCTGGGTACTGCCAGAAAGTGGGTTAAAAATACAACTACTAACTGGGGGCACTAACCATGTCCATTTCAAGGTAGCATCTCACTTATTGTCTTTTTGCGTACTTATTTTAGGAGGAGGTTTCTTTATCGCCACAAGAGCATGGGCCATTGGCCTATTTGGCAGGCTATGTTATAAGGTCTTTGTACCAAAAAGCAAGAATTGTTCCCGGTGGCAGTCCCAAAGAAACAAAGAAATTCAAACATTAATGTATTCAATGCGAACTGCAACAGAGGACAATGAGTATATATTATCTTTATCAAGAGGTGGCCTGTGGTCACCTCATTCATGGCTTGTTAGTATTATGGAAGTTAGTGAATTAGTTTTTAGGAAGCACACAAATAAAGACAAGGTCACTTGTCTACCAGTAGACAAAATAGTGAATGAAGTTTTGGCTTCTTCCTTTGTGAAAAGCTTGTGGTGCAATATTATTGCAAATTGTGATGTGGAAATCACTAAAGAATGTCAGTCCCTGTGTTTAGAAAATATTGTAAAGTTGTACGTTACTGTTAGGTGTTTCTCATTTGCCAAAGATATTGTAAACAAATATAAATTAAGTGAAGGTGTTAAGCGAAAGAAAGCTTTACGGAAAGACTTGAAGAAAGCTAGTAGTGAACTGGAATAATGTCATTTACCAAGGAATGAAATTACTGTATTCAACCATATTAACTATGATTCAAGGTGGCTTTAAAATACTATTGCATTTGATCAAACCTCCAGCTAAATATATTCAATAGTGATAAATGCAATTTCTACGGCAATAAAAAAGGCATTTTTGACCAGTCAGAAAGTTTACACCCTTATTCTAAAAGCTCACTTGCACTCAATGACTGGAAGTTCAATATCAGCTTCTCTCGAGTGTCAAAGGGCTAGTGTCGTACCACTCACCCTCCAGCCATTCAAAAACAGCATTTACACTCAAGAAAAGCTCAGATTGAACCTCCACTCATTGAGTGTGAGTGAGGTTTTAGAATCCGGGTGTTAAACTTTAAGAGCTTGTAACTATTATTAACAGTTGCACAAGATTTTATATTGAAATTATTCATTATGTCAAGCCATGTGTATTAATGGTCAAGCAAGCAATAGAATGCTACTTCCTCAAGCGACTGTTACTTAGCAGATGCAATTCCCGTCTTGCATCAACTTTTTGTCTTGAAATATTTGGTGAGAAAAGGTTTGAGCATAACTTGAGTCACTGTTAATAAAATATTTATTGCAACTGAATGCTAAATGTAAATAGGTGTTAATTGTAAATGTTTTTATAGTAATTTACTAGTATTAAATTTCAGTTTAATTAATAATAAGCCAACATTTGAAAGAGTTGCTTCCATAACACTTAAGTACTGATTGGACAGGAAAAAGCATTTAACACTTCTTGTGAAGTGCTACATCACAGTTTACTATAATCGGCTAAGAATTAGAAACAATACCCCAAGTCCAAGATGCTATCTAATTCAGCAACAGAAATTTGCTGCTTATCCGGCCAAGTCATAATGAAGCATTTGTAGGACTTAATAAGAGTGATAATTGCTCATTGTCCACTTCTAATTTGGAATTCTGAACATAGTAACTAATAAGTAAGGTCCAATATAAATGGTATGACCACCACTAAATGTCTAATTGATGCAAATATATCATGCAGAGGCAAAATTCTCAATAAACTAACAAGTAAAAACAGCATGGAATTCCTCTCTACTGTTAAACATTTGGGTACTGCACTGTGTACAGTTACTACCACCTTCATGATTAGGACAGTGGCATAGCCAGCCTGACGATTTGGTCCCATTATGCAAATTTCAACTCATTCTTGATTGTGTTGATAGTTTATAAGCATGGCAATATTTGCATAGCGGGACTGAATCATTGCGCTGGCTATACCACTGATAAGGAACACCCCTTAATCAGTTTGTGAAGGATATTTCTCGCAATATTACTGCATGTGCATTTATTGAACTTACAACATTTTCAAGACAACTATTTCTTGGTTGGTTTTTGTTCTTTTTTTTTTGTAACGGCTCTTCACTGACATTGCACCACTTGCTTCGCTTACCAGAATGTCCAGAAACATTTCCTTCAATGGACCGTGGTGCAACATCTCTCAACGTTGCAATCTTGAGGTCATTATACCCGAACTCAACTGCTGTTGGGTTATCATTTCTTCTTCCTTGTGCTCGCTGGTAACCAAAGTACTCTTCGACATCCTGGCAAAAATGTTCTGTGAGCACAAACTCGAATCCTCAGGGCAACAACTGAATTTACCGTCAAATTTCAGGCCAGTGAAGGTTTGGACACTCAAGAACATACGCCCTTTGTCATCATCTGAGAATGGACCTTCTCTCGAATCAATCGATGATTTCCAGCTCGTCAAGTATGGTAAGAATTCATTGTTTAGCCAATCAAACCTGCTATCGTCTATGTGTTGGTATGGAGCCAGTCGTGGATTGCGCTTTCTTTGATGCTCTGAAGTTGTTCAACGGACATTCACGCAATCAAAGAAGTCGTTCATCATTTGACAAAACTTGGCTGTTTCACTTGCCTCTCCTGATAAATAGTGCCGCTTGAGAGCTTCGGCCACTGTATTGCCCAACACTTGAACTGCAAAGCTGACTTTCATCTTTGAATAGGACTTGAGTTGGATATGCTCTACAGTTAACTTAGGTAGTTGATGTAGTCCGAAATCCAGATCTGAATAGTACAGCTTTGCAATATGTTCCCAAAGCATGTACTTGTCATTGTTCCACAAGTAACGGGTGCATTTGCCACTGCCAGAATTAAACAGACAGTTTCTTGCAGTCTTCAATAAATGTGGGGCATCAGAAAAGAAGTAGATCTTCCTGCTAGGGGCAAATAAGTTGGTAGTGTAGTGTACCAAATCCCCAGAGTCTGCATCAACTAGGCCTGCATGCGGTTGGAAAAATAGGCGATTTGGTGAAGCTCCATCAGATACAGCTGCACATACCCAGAGGTTGCAGACAAGCTCGAGCACAGACACCGCTTTCCAGAACAAAGGCATGATCTGATAGCATGTGACATCTTTGGTTAAGAAATAGCCAAGAGCATATTTCAAATCTGTGGCTGCACCTCTAACAAAGAAAACAAGGGCATGTGTGGCAAGATCAGTTGAACCAAGACTACTGGTGTTCAGTTCCTCTTCGCCAAGATCGACAAAACCAATAAGTTCATTGGAATGTTTATCAAAGACCAACTTTGACTGGATCTTCATCTCGTCAAATGCGATGACAACATACCTTTGGATATCAAAATGCTTGCTTGTTTGATTCCTCAACCGCTCTACATTTTTAGGGTGGAAACCAGCTTTAGGTGTGAAAAAGTTCCGATAGTCTCGCAGGGTTTTTTCACTTGGGAGTACCAAAATGCCAGAATCTCGCAATTCCTTATATGCGGCTGGTGATTTGGCATGGATTGAAAGGCAAAATCGGATGATGTGTGGGTGGTATCTTCTTCCAAACTTTGGTGATGCAAGCATTTTCCGTTGTTGCTCCCAGAAAACTCTCATATGTGGGGTGATCTCATCACCACTATCAGCAAGTATTGCCAGAATATCTTTCTCTAAAGTCTCATCTATAGGGACGCTGTTCTTTGCAATCTCTTTTTCCAACTGCGATATACGACCTTCAAGCTCCTTGCAGACAATTCTCTGTCTCTGCACTGTAGCAACCAACCGTTCCTTACTTGATTTGGACAGAGGTGCTTTATCCTTTAGGGGTTGAGGTGGTTGAACATTGTGTTTCTCTTTCTGCTTGCTGACAGACTTTTCTTGCTTGATACAATTGGAGCAGGAAATGTTACCACAAAGCAATTCACAATCTAGTGATCTCAAAAAGATACAGGCTTGAAAGGGAGGGCCATCTTCTTCATAATTCTCAGGCTTTATGGGAATGGTATGCCTAATGACACTGCTGGAACTACAGCTAGGACTGGGGTCTTCACATTTTGAATATGTGAGTTCATTTTTGTCGAGGCCTTCACAAATCTCATAACTCTCTAGCTTGGAAATAATGGTTGAGATGCTGGTGTACTTTACTGATCGCTTCAATTCACTGTAGATCACATGATCGTCAGGTAGAAACCAGTTATATACAGCAACAGAAAAATCGAGACCAGAGGCAACAGAGCAAGTTATCTTGGGCAAGGAAAATGTTGGATTCCAGAACTCAAAAATGACACTGTCCTCATTTTCGGTTTTCAGCCATCCCTTCATTTTCAAACCCAGAATTCGTTTCTTGAAGCTCTCCAAATTATGATATACCACAGGTTTATCCAACTGATGTCGAACAACTTCTCGTCGTGTTGTTGTTGCAGAAGTAACAGTACTCTTCACTGGCAAATTTAAGGATGGCACTGCTCCTGGCACCAGTCTCTTACGAGTAGAGGCTAAAAAGTAAATGACAGCTTTCAAGACAAAACAGAGACTTTGTAACATTTGTCAGTTGACTGGTACCTTATACTCAGAGAATAATATTGCGCACAAGAAACGAATACGCACTAAAGCACAGTGCATCCTACATTGTTATTTTACCCCATCTGAAGCCAATGATTTTACTTGTCAATGGGAGACCCTTGCACCTTATTAAAATGGGCTAACAAAACTGCCAATGTACAATACAGTAAACTGCCAATCTCTCTAACCCATGAAAACACAATGTGCCCAGGTACCCCATACTTTGTTAATTTACAGTTTATACAGTGCAAGGTCAGATAATTTTAATTGTCAAAAGAATTATTAAGTCTGGTGCCTTTTAAAGTGTAGCCTTTGATAACTTGTTATGTGAGTACAGCATGGTGGTAAGGCTGGCTAGATAATAATGAAGATTTTTCTTAATTACTATGATCATAAAACTCTTGGCATATTAAAGCCTATTGCTGTAATCTGTAGTATATTGTTGCATGGAATATATGTTGGTATATAACACCTAAATTCAAAAGATTCAGTCTTTCAATATTTAGGATATTGATTTATAATAAAACGTGTTTAAAATGCCTATAACCATAGGGTACTTTGTATGTATGCTATGCCTTATTTGAAACTATTATCTCTATTGAACTATGACAGTCTATGTCTGGTATTTCAACGAACTATCTAAAGTTTAACATGCAAGTTTATACAATCGCTAAGTATCGCTTACAGCTGACTAAAGTTCAACCCCACAAGCGGCAAGCCTCGTTGTGCTTGAGAGACGTACATACAGCCGGATATTATGTAGATTCCGCGATAGTTCATGCATAAAAAGTGCTTATTATTCTCTACACTCTGTAATTAATATATTCGAACTATGTGAAAAAACGCTTTGATCAGTGGCAGTGCCACAAAATCCTACAATCCCTACAATTTATCATTTGATATTTGAGTTTATATTTTACACAAAGGAATTCATTGTCCTGGGGTGTCTGTTCATTGACATATTTGTTTCACGTTTTCGCCGCTTTTTCGCACAGTTTTACTCATTGTTTACGGGGGCAAAATAAGAATACACTTACGACAATCAATTTCTTCAGTCTTGAAATGTTTCTCGCAAACATACAGCTCGCCTGTGTCGATCTGGCGACGTAAACGTTTGTCCACAACTCGATCCTTTGTGATGACGTTCAGCCAAGCCTCTCGAGTTCTCGTTGATAACTCGTCTTTGCCAGACGGAATTCGAAAGATTCCGAGCCCAACATGCTTTCTGCTGGTTCCACAACCAAATATTGAGCAATTAGCTCCGGGCATTGTAAAAAATATCGCCAAACCAACAGCTTTTTTCGTTTCGCAACATATGGTAATTCAACACTCTTTGTATAGAATTACTATGGACGATTGTTTACAAAATGCACGAATGCCCTATATGTTCCACGTGACCAAAAATCCAACATATTTCGTCACGTGACCCAGCCTTCCAAACCCGGTCAGTATATATTAACTATGGTATTACAAACGGGAAATTGACATACGATTCGGGTGTTGGGGCTGCAATTTCCCGTTTGTAATCTAAAATGACTGAAAATTGCAAATTTCGCAAGGCTATATTATCCGCATTTTACAACATTTCGCAACGAAACTTTGGAATATTACTAATTTTGTGATGCTCTTTCAAGCTGTGATGAAATATTTGTCTAGACTTGCCTAGATCAAAATTTTGGTTATAAGGGGAAAGGTCTATTGCGCGACTGCCCGGCAACTTATCATGCACGGTAGTATCATGAACTCTCATCCTTGTTTGATCCGGGTTTTAACGAACCCCTGAACTCCTCAGATTGCCAGTCGAAGTGTTTTCAACTTTTTTTCAGTTAGTTCAAACAAAAAATCACGGCAATTTAGGGTTATGTATATTGTTAAATGTAGACTATATTTTTCAGACAGTCATGTATCCTTCGTCTTCGACATATGCATGGCTTCTTCAATCAGAAGGCTACATAACTGATTTGATAGAATTCGAACTAATATATATTTACTAGACGTTTCACGTTTCAAGCAAAAGTTAAGAAGACAGATATATACTACTCCATAGTCTTAAAACGTAGTGCAAACTGCAAGCGTTTCAGTGGCCGTTTGACAGTGACGCACTTTTATTAATTGCTACAGGTAAAACTCGTTGCCAATATATCTATAATTTTAAAAACACTTACTGCGGAAGCGACGTTTCCATTCAGAATAAGACAAACACAGACAACAAGTACAAAACTCTTGAAAGCCTTCATGTTTCTTCTTGTGAGTTCGAGCTTATCTGTCTTACCGTTATAGGTTGCTTTTCTTGATTTCTTCCCTACAAATTCAAAACGCCGTTCGGTTTCACTATCTTGAAACACTGCAAAATGTGCGCATGACTGGTGCATATTTAAACGCAATTCCTGGTAAAGCATTTCTGCGAAAAAACTTGAAACCTTGACACGTTCTCTTTTGTAATTGGTTTTAAACGTATCATCACTTATCGTCACTATATTATGATCATTTTCGTTCCCAGGGCTTCTCGGCTGATTGCGTCTGGTTTCATCCTCGTCCCCATGAGGAAAGCCGTTTAAAACAGTTTTATACCTTTATATTAACTTGGCGACCACCAACTCATGTATAAGGTAAAATGTTGTAAAATGCCGTTAGAAATGTTACAAATTACTACCCAAGCAATTTTTGAAGTTTTAATTGATAGTTTCCATAAAATCTATTTCAAAATAAACAATAATTTGAATTGATAAAAAACTGACACAGAGACCAGAGTATGGGCCGAGGTTCGATGAGTTTGACAGGTTCAGTTTTAAACTGCTCTGCAAAACGGTGCTTCGGCTGAGCTAATTACTGGTATTGACGTTCATGTGAGAGTAGGCCAATGAATGGAGAAGACTGTAGACAATGACTAGTTGTTCATTCTTCAGTGCAAACCGTAGTAAACATAATTGGCTAGATTTCCTTGGATTAATCTCATAGGCGTACCGGGCGGGGGAGGGGGGGCGGTAGCCCCCCCCCCCCATTTTTTGGGCAGTCGGGCAATATTCGATGAACAGTCGGGGGGGGGGGGAAGTTGCCAAAATAATTTTTCCGGAAAAAAATTTTCGGTACTAGTCGGGCACATTTCTGAAAAGTCGGGCAATTTTCTTTCCGCCCCCCTAATTTTATCCTTCCGGTACGCCCATGATTAATCTATTGATTCTTGTATGTTCAAATCCCAGCATTTCTATTTCTTTGTCTGCTGCATACCATTCTAATTATATATCCCATGCCATTTCATATTCTAATCTTTTTCAACCCTGTTCTACAGCTTCTACTCACACAAAAATAAACCACACTTTACAAAAGAGACTAAAAGAATCCCAAAAGTTACAAGTGTTTAATAGAAGTCCAAAAAATAACATAGTAAAACTTTCAAAACGAAAACATTTAAAACATCTCTAGATTTCTTATTTATGAATATAAAGACAATAACTAATATCATCAGTTTCAATGTTTAGTTTATAAATTTTCCATTACTCGTCAGCAGCAGCTCCAACGGCAGCTCCAACAGCTCCTACTACAGCAGACCCTGCATAACCCAATCCTGCTGCACCAACAGATTGAAGAGTAGCTACAACACCACCAGCCGCAGTCGGTGCCAATGCAGACATCATGTATGCTCCAAGCGAACCTGCTGTTATGCCAGCCCCAGTAAAACCAGCCGCAGTCAAGACAGCAGGGGCCGCTACAACTGCACCAACACCACCAATTATAGCCCCTAACCACTACAATTTAAAATGAAAGTGTAAACACTCAAATATGGGGACACTTGAACTTTACGAGCGAAAGCCCTTCGAGAATGTCAGCGGCAACGCACTGGTCAATGATTCTTCGTTAACTTATATATTCTTTTAATTTCTTAGTCAAAAAATTTAAATTACACTAGTTTTAACATACTAAATCATTCTATTTTGTTCTTATTGCCTTGCAACATGAAATTTCTAATTTGCCAAAGTTGTCGCCCGTGGCCGTGAACAGCCATACTGAACAGGCAGTGAACAAGTACGCATGCAGTTCATCAAAACTTCGTGTTTGGGCGAGGCAACGGCAACGTCTTTGCAAAATTCTCGTTGACTACTCCGGCTTCATATTCTTTTGTGAAAAACATCATTACACATCACATGTTTGAAATGACAATTAGTTTATTTATATTCTTTATTGTCTCAAAGGCTAAAAGCGTAAAATGTTTCTTCGCCATCGCGTCAGGTGCTTTTTGACAAGCCCCGGTCAAACGAGGATATAAGAGTTGATATAAGAGTTGATATAAGAGTTGACATGAGTCATACTATGAGAGTTGGCAGTCTCGTATTGTCACAGGGGACATTTCAAGCTCTAGATTAACAACTGAATAAAAGGTTGATAAGTCTTTCAACTATATGTTTTAACTAAATAGAATACAGGTTGGGAAAGCAAGTCTTAAAAACAGCTAAGATTGCGTGACTGCATGCCAACTTTTCATGCAGGCTGTCGCGATCGTGATCTCTCGGCTTGTTTGATCCCCCGGTTTTAACGAACGCGAAGCCGAAACTCCTCAGATTGCCAGTCTATTTTCAACTCTTTTTCGGTTAGTTCAAACAAAAAATCACGGCCATTTAGGGTTATGTATATTGTTAAATGTAGACTATATTTTTCAGGCAGTCAGTCGAAGGTCTTTGACATATGGCTTCTTCAATCAGTACATAACTGATTATAGAATTCGATGAACTAATAGCTATATATTTACTAGACGTTTCACGTTTCAAGCGAAAGTTAAGAAGACAGATATATAATACTCTATAGTCTTAAAACGTAGTGCAAACTGCAAGTGTTTCAGTGGCCGTTTGACAGTGACGCACTTTTATTAATTGCTACAGGTAAAACTCGTTGCCAATAATCAATATGATCAATAATTTTAAAAACACTTACTGCGGAAGCGACGTTTCCATTCAGAATAAGACAAACACAGACAACAAGTGCAAATCTCTCGAAAGCCTTCATGTTTCTTCTTGTGAGTTTGAGCTTATCTATTTAATTTACTTTATAGATTGCTTTTCTTCCCTACAAATTCAAAACGCCGTTGTTTCACTATCTTGAAACACTGCAAAATGTGCGCATGAATGGTGCATATTTAAACGCAATTCCTGGTAAAGCATTTCTGCGAAAAAACTTGACACCTTGAACGTTCTCTTTTGTAATTGGTTTTAAACGTATCATCACTTATCATCACTATATCATGATCATTTTCGTTCCCAGGGCTTCTCGGCTGATTGCGTCTGGTTTCATCCTCGTCCCCATGAGGAAAGCCGTTTAAAACAGTTTTATACCTTTATATTAACTTGGCGACCACCAACTCATGTATAAGGTAAAGTGTTGTAAAATGCCGTTAGAAATGTTATTTAAGTTTTAATTGATAGTTTCCATAAAATCTATTTCAAAATAAACAATAATATTGAATTGATAAAAAACTGACACAGAGACCAGAGTATGGGCCGAGGTTTGATGAGTTTGACAGGTTCTGTTTTACTGAACTGCTCTGCAAAACGGTGCTTCGGCTGAGCTAATTACTACTGGCATTGACGTTCATGTGAGAGTGGGCCAATGAATGGAGAAGACTGTAGACAATGACTAGTTGTTCATTCTTCATAATTGGCAAAACTTATCATCATGCAGTAGTCATTAGATCTGATTCGATTCCTGCCAGGGACCTAAAGTTGTATTTTTTCGCAGCTGTTCCCGGTTAGGTTTAATAAATGTATATAAATTTATTAAATTTAATTTATTAAAGTCTGATACACAGAGTATGGGCCCATTGGGCCGAGATTTGATGAGTTTGACAGGTTCAGTAATCTGCTTGCAAAACGATGCTTCGGCTGAGCTATATAATTACTGGCATTGACGTTTCATATGAGAGTAGACCAATGAATGGAGAAGACTGTAGACAATGACTAGTTGTTCATTCTTCAGTGCAAACCATAGTAAACATAACTGGCTAGTGGTTCATTCCATATTCGTTTTCTTTGGATTAATCTATTCATAAATTAATCTTGTATATTCAAATCTCAGCATTTCTATTTGTTTGTCTACTGGATGCCATTCTAATTATCCCATGCAATTTCATATTCTAATCTTTTTCAACCCTGTTCTATCCACACAAAAATAAATCACACTTTACAAAAAGTCAAAAGAATCTCAAGAGACAAGAGTTACAAATGTTTAATAGAAGTTCAAAGAAAGCAACAAAATAGTGCAACTTTCAAAACAAAAACATGTTAAAACATCAAAAGGTTTCTTATTTATCAATAACTACTAATATCATCAATTTCTTTTTGAATTTGAATTTTCGCAAATAGCGCCGACGGTCCCTCCGGTGACGACAGCTCCAGCAATTCCTGCTACAAGATACCCTCCATAACCCAATCCTGCTGCACCAACAGATTGAAGAGTTGCTACAAGACCACCAACGGCAGTCGGTGCCAATGCAGACATCATGAATGCTCCAAGCGAACCTGCTGTTATGCCAGCCCCAGTAAAACCAGCTACTCCCAAGATAACAGGGGCCGCTGCAGCTGTTACAACACCACCAACTAAAGCTCCACCTACAGTCCGGGGTGTCTGGAAAATGAAAAAGTGTAAACACTCAAATATGGGACACTAGCTTGAACTTTACGAGCAAAGATCCTTCGAGAAAATCAGCGCAACGCAAGACGCGACCTCTGCGGAGACGCGGCTATATATATAGACAAGAGTCTTCGTCAACATATTATATATTCTTTTACTTAGTCAAAAGATTTATTTTGAATTACAGTTTTAACATATTAAGTATATTAAATCATTATTCCATTTTGTTCTTATTGCCTTGCAACAAAGGGCTTGTCAAATACAACGGCAACGCGACAGTAACTCTAAGATAAAGGCTACTATAATTTGCACCCTCAGCAATCTAGTACGCCGTCGTGTTCAAACTGTTAGTCATGTACATAATTTTCACGGCTCGTGACCACGGCAACGCTCCGGCAACAGATTGAAGAAGTTTGTCGAAGGAAGCACTCTTTTGTTATTATAAAACTAATATGTACTTAATAGACGTTTCAAGCGGGACTTAAGAAGACAGATATAGCAGTCCATGCATAGTCTTGAAACGTTTCATAGTGTGCAAATTGTAAGCGTTTTGGCCGTACCTCATTCATTCAGATTCTTTCATCCTCGTCCCCAAGAGAGCAATTTAAAACACTTTACCTTTATATTAACTTGGCGACCAGTACCAACTCAGTATAAGGTAAAGTGTTAGTAATGTTACTGACAAATTACTACCCAAGCAAGTTTTGAAGTTATTCAATGGACAGTTTCCATAAAATGTATTTAAAAATGAACAATAACATTGAACCGATCAAAACTGACACACAGAGTATATGGGCCGAGGTTTAATCAGATGAATGCATAGTCTTGAAACGTTTCATGATAGTATGCAAACTGCAAGCGTTTTGGCCGTATTGGTAGTACATGCAGTGACGCACTTTTATTAATTGCTACAACAAGTAAAACTCGCTGCCAATATTTGTAGTTTTAGAAACACTTACTACGGGAATGTCGAATCCAAAACCCAGAGGACCATGATTCAATGAAAACCACATGTTTCTTCTTGTGAGTTCGAGTTAATCGCTTTTCTTCTTTACAATTCAAAACGCTGCCTGTTTCACTTCCTCGACTGAAACACTGCAAAATGTGTTTGTATGCAAAATGACTGTTCCACGCATATTCAAACGCAATACACCCTTCCAGAAAATACGTCACGTGAGCTATAGAGCCTCGTTTTCGTGATTGGGGCATTAGGCTTGAACTAATGTCACATACACGAAAACGAGGCGGCTCTATAACCAAAGTGACGTACTTTCTGGAAGGGTGTATTCTTGGTGAAGCATTTCTGCAAAAAACTTGACACGTTCTCTTTTACAATTGGTGCAATTGGTTTTAAACGTATCATCATTCTCGTTCCTAGCGCTTCTTGGCTGACTGCGTTGTTTGTATACTTTCGCTTTCTTTCGCTCCAGTACCGCCATCTTTGTCACCACAACAGCTTACATGAGTAAAATGTTGATTTCACAAAGAATCGGTTTAAACCGGATAGTCAGTTATTGCTATCCAGCCAGAATACGGATAGTTTCACACAAGGTTCATTATTGTGAATTTTATTGGACAGTAAAACAAGACATATCAAACGGCATGAGTGCAAATGGGACTCGAAATCCCATGCGAGGCACTTTACCTTTTTACAAATTAATTAAGTTCACCTCTACTTCAGCGGTAAATAAAAATTAAGTAGGGGTGTTCATCATAGGCGTACCGGGCAAAGCAAAGCAAAAACCGCCGTAAATCGGCGCAGCAGGCGCCACTAAAACTGCACCAACACCACCGGCTACAGCTCCTATAGCCCCTAACCACTACAATTTAAAATAAAAACGTGTAAACACTCAAATGTGGGGACACTTGAAGTCTTGAACTTACGAGCGAAGACTCTTCGAAAAGGTCAACGAATCTTTGTCAACTTATATATTCCTTTTCTTAGTCAAAAGATTTATTTTAAATTACAGTTTTACATACTAAAGCAGTCCATTTTGTTGTCTTATTTTCCAAAGGTTTGTCGCCCGTGTACAGCCATAGAGGTTTAGGGAGTTCATCAAAACTTCATGGTTGAGCGAGGCAACGCCATTACCGGCAACGGCAGATTGTCGTTGACTACTCCGGCTTCATATTCTTAATATGTGAAAAGCATCTTTACACTAACTACCTCTCACAAGCCTCTGCGGAGGAGAGACTGACACATTACATGTTTGAAATGACAAGTTTATTTATATACTTTATTGTCTCAAAGGTTAAAGGCGTAAAATTTTTCTTTGCCATCGCGTCAGTTGCTTTTTGACGAAGCCCCGGTCGAACGAAGACTGCATGATAGTTGATGAGAGTTGGCAGTCTCGTAATTGTCACAGGAGGCATTCAAGCTCAAACTGCAAGCGTTTGCAAAAACTCGATGATGATGATTTGATGATTTTTTGATTTGATGATTTGATTTGATGATTTTTTGATTTGATGATTTGATTTGATGATTTTTTGATTTGATGATTTCATTTGATGATTTGTTTAAAACTCGATGATGATGATTGCTACAAGTAAAACTCGTTGCCAATATGATCTATAATTTAAAAAACACTTACTGCGGAAGCGATGTTACCATTCAGAATAAGACAAACACAGATGACAAGTACAAATCTCTTGCTGGAGAAAGCCTTCATGTTTCTTCTTGGGAGTTATCTGTCGTTATATATATTTCGCTTTTCTCCCCTACAAATTCAAAACGCCGTTGTTCATGCACTTTCTTGAAACACTGCAAATGTGTGCATGACTGCATGGTGCATATTTAAACGCAATTCCTGGTAAAGCATTTCTGCGAAAACACTTGACACCTTGACACGTTCTCGTTTGTGATTGGTTTTAAACTTATCATCACTACCATGAGCATTTTCGTTCCCAGGGCGTCTCGGCGTTGTCTAGACGTTGTCTGCATTGTTTCAGATTGTTTCATTCTCGTCCCCAGGAAAGCAATTTTTAAAAAATACTTTATTAACTTGGCGGCCACCAACTCAATATAAATTTTGAAGTGATTTAACCAGAAAATTTATTTCAAAATTGACAATAATATTGGATCAAAACTGGTACAGATCATGGGCCTCCCGTAACCTGATGAAGAATGTTTGACAACAGAGGTTTGACCATGCGTTTGACAGGTACAGTTAGTATTCTGTTCATATTAAAATGGTACCTGACTGAGCTAATTATACTGCCATTGAAATGATTGAAGTTGTGTGGGGGCAGACCAATGAATATTTTGTATCTGTCATGTTATTAAATCGTACATTCTTCAATGCAAACCGTATAGTAAACATAACTGGCTATAGTAGTTCACTCTAACTCATTTTTGTTTTCTTTGGACTATTTTATTCACTCTTGACTCTTGTATGTACAGATCTCACCATTTCTATTGTCTACTGCATGCCATTCTATAATTATCGGCCCATTCCGTGTCATATTCTAATCTTTTGTGTTCTACTCACACAAAAATAAACCCACACTTTACAAAAGAATCTCAAAAGTTACAAGTATTTATAATAGTATTATTTATACTTGAATATATATATATATATTTATACTTGAACATAGACATATAGGCATAGCTAGTGAAACTTTCAAAACGAAAACATTTAAGAACATCGCATATAGGTTTCTTATTTATCAATAACCAAGATCATCAGTTTCAATGTTTAGTTTCTAACATCTTCCATTACTTGGTAAAAGCGGCTCCAGCGGCAGCTCCAGCAGCTCCTACTACAGCAGACCCTGCATAACCCAATCCTGCTGCACCAACAGATTGAAGAGTAGCTACAACACCACCAGCGATAGTCGGTGCCAATGCAGACATCATGGATGCTCCAAGCGAACCTGCTGTTATGCCAGCCGCAGTAAAACCAGCTGCTCCCAAGACAACAGGCGCTGCTACAACTGCACCAACACCACCAGCTACAGCTGCACCTACAGTCCATGGTGACCACTACAATTTAAAATGAAAAAGTGTAAACACTCAAATATGGGAACACTTGAACTTTACGAGCGAAGACCCTTCGAGAACTGAGTCGACAGCTCAACGCAAGGTCCAACGATTCTTCGTCAACTTAATATATATTACTTTTCTTAGTAAAAAAAGATTAAATCACAGTTTTAACATATTAAATCATTTCATTTTGTTCTTATTGCCTTGCAACAGGAAATTCTAATTTGTCGCCCGTGAACAGCCATAGAGGTTTAGGGAGTTCATCAAACCCTCATGTTTGAGCAAGGGTGGGTAGTAGCGAAGTAGTTATATAGTTCGCTACTGTAGCGAACTACAATTTTCAAGTAGCCATGAGTAGTTTTTGACTACTTTTTCAAAACAGTACTGTAGTTATAGCGAACTACATTTTGCCTAAAAGTAGCCAAGTAGTTGACTACTTTTCAATTTCAAACAGAAAATCGCTATTCGCTACTTTTTAAAATTGTTAGCAACTAGATAGAATAGCATGATATTGAGACACGGTTTGCTTAAAATCAATACTCAATTTGCATGAATAAAATATGCCATGCAAGTGCATGCCATCTTATTTACTCGTAAGTCGTAGGTTACATTACAGCCTGAGCTAGTAGATGCTCCAAATACAGTAAAATTAAAAAATATATGCGTAGCGAAATAGCGAAATAATTCGCTACATTTTTTAAGCAGTATAGCTGTAGTCAGTAGCGAACTACTGTTGTTCAAAAGTACCATGCAGTAGTTGTAGCTGACTACATATTTTTGAAGTAGCTGTAGTTATAGCGAACTACAAAAAGTTTGTAGTCAACCCACCCTTGTGTTTGAGCGAGGCAACGGAAAAGTCTTTGCAAAGTTCTCGTTGACTACTCCGACTTCATATGTTCTTTTGTGAAAAGCATCATCATACACATTACATGTTTGAAATGACAAGTGTATTTAAATTCTTTATTGTCTCTCAAAAGCTAAAGTCAAGAAAGGCGTAAACTGATCATGTTTCTCAGTTTGCCATCGCGTCAGTTGCTTTTTGACGAAGCCCCGGGCCCGGTTGAAGTCTAACGAGGATAAATAGAGGAGGATATGACACAGCGTCGCAAAGATAAGACTTTTATCCGTACGAACGAGCGCAGCGATGGGGTAAAATATTGTTTTTAACACGAGAACAAATATCTCACTGTGTATTTTTCAGTATCTCACTCTCTACTATATAATAAGAGTTGTACGAGAGTAATTGGCAGTCACACATTTTCACAGGGGAGATTTCAAGCTCTAGGGTTGGTAAGTCTTTCAACTATGTTTTAACTAAATAGATATTACAGTGTTGGGAAAGCAAAGATTGGGTGACTGCCAGGACGCTGTCTTGAACTCGTATCCTTGTTTGATCCGCCGGGTTCAAGTTACTCCTCAGAAGATTGTCAGTTAGTTCGAACAAAAAATCACAGCCATTTAGGATTATGTATATTGTTAAATGTAGACTATATTTTTCAGACATCAGTCCTTCGGTTTCGTCTTCGACATATCGCTTCTTCAATCAGTACATACTGTTATTATGATAGAATATAGAATTCGACTGAACTAATATATATTTACTAGACGTTTCAAGCGAAAGTTAAGAAGACAGATATATAGTACTCTCCATAGTCTGCTTAAAACGAAGTGCAAACTGCAAGTGTTTCAGTGGCCGTTATACAGTGACGCACTGACTTTTATTAATTGCTACAGGTAAAACTCATCGCAAATATGTCATATGATCTATAATTTTAAAAACACTTACTGCGGAAGCGACGTTACCATTCAGAATAAGACAAACACAGATAACAAGTACAGAACTCTTGAAAGCCTTCATTTTTCTTCTTGTGAGTTCGAGCTTATCTGTCTTACTTTATATTTCGCTTTTCTTCCCTACAAATTCAAAACGTCGTTGTTTCACTTTCTTGAAACACTGCAAAATGTGCGCATGACTGGTGCATATTTAAACGCAATTCCTGGTAAAGCATTTCTGTGAACATGAAAAACTTGACTCCTTGACACGTTCTCGTTTGTAATTGGTTTTAAACGTATCATCACTTATCGCAATCTCGTTCCCCGAGCCTGGGATCCTCGGGAAGGAAACGAAGGCTCTGGGATAATCCGTTTCAGGGAGGAATCTGATTGGCCATTGAAATGGAATGCGTAGTTCAATCTTAGCCATGATTCTTGGCTTCCGGTAACGGATTATCCCAGAGCCTTCGATTCCTTCCCGAGGATCGCAGGCTCGGGGAACGAGATTGCACTTGTCGTCACTATGATGAGCATTTTCGTTCCCAGGACTGCTCGATCGGCTGACTGCGTTGTCTGACGTTGTCTGTTTTGTTTCATCCTCGTCCCCAGGAGAGCATTTAAAACACTTTATTTTAACTTGGCAGCCACCAACTCAATGTAAGGTAAAGTGTTTTAAGTTGTTAATCATGACACAAAATACTACTCAAGTTCTACCAATTTTCGTTTAAATATTTGAAATTTGCTCTTTCCATGCAGGTTTTCACTACAATTATACCTAGGGTTTTTGTACAACTTGCTTGTTTCAACTCTTTATCTTGCAATTTAATTGTAGTCTCTTGCTGGGTATTTCAGTAATATTTTTTGCTTAGATCCTATTACCATGCATATATTCAGTTTTATCCATATTTAAGGTCAGTTTATAGGCCAACAACCACTGGTGCATATTCTCTAAATCAGTACAGAGCTTGTCTTCATTCCCGCCAATCGAAATTCCCTCAGCTGTTATGCTGGTATCATCTGCAAATAAGCTCGCAGACGAATGTGTTAATTAGTAAACAATTTGGTAAATCATTTATATAGATTAGGAAAAGTAACGGCCCGAGAGTGGAACCCTGCGGTACGCCACATTGAATCTTTTTTGGCTGATAGACACTGGTCAATTTTACTCATTTGTGATCTATATCATTTAAGTAGGACCCAAACCACTTCAGCGTACATCCATAAAGTAATAATTTTTTAACCAAGATTTTATTCCGAGTCCACACAGTCAAATGCTTTCTTAAGATCCAGAAAAATTACACCATTCAGGTATCCCTTATCCATATTAATTAACCACTTGTTTGTTATATTAAGTAATGAAGTTTGGGTTGAATATTTTTTTCTAAAGCCTGCCTGTTGTTGAGACAAGATATTGTTTGTTTCAACGGATATTTATAGAATTGATCGGAAATTAATCTTTCAAAAGTTTTAGCAACCGCAGAAAGCACCGGCATTGGTCTGTATAGTTTGTACATTCCGATTTATCCCCTCTTATAGATAGGTAGACAACTACAGTTTTTAAATCCTCTGGGAAAACTCCAGTTTCAATAGACAGATTAAAAATTGCTGTTAAATTAATTATAAAGAATGAGCTATATTTCATTCTAGTCCATTTTCGTTTTCTTTGGATTATTCTATTCGACTTGTACGTATATTGTACAGAATTTTTAATGAATTTAGAATTTTAATGAATTTCTTTACACACAAATTTTTAAAGACAATTAGATAAGATATATACATAATATTATTGAAAAAGAAGAAAACTGGAAATATAATACATATTGCACGCAGTGATCAAACTAGCAATAAGTTGATCACTGAAACTCTGATCACCCGGTACAACTCTCAACATTTGTATTCATTTGTTTATATACTGCACACCATGTTAATTATCCCATTCCATTTCATATTCCAATATTTTCCACCTCTATTCTACTCTGCTCTGCAAAACGGTGCTTCGGCTGATCTAATTACTGGCATTGAAGTTTCATATGCACGAGAGTAGACCAATGAATGACCACACAAAAATACTGAACCACACTTTACAAAAGAATCTCAAAAATTACATTTAATAGAAGTTCAAAAAAAGCAACAACGTTAACATAGTATAAAACGTTCAAAACGAAAACATTTAAAAACATCTAAAGGTTTCTCAGTTTATCAATAACTATATCATAATCAGTTTCAATGTTTCATTTATATATATAACATCTTCCATTACTTGCCAGCAACGGCTCCGACGATAGCTCCAGCAGCTCCTACTACAGCAGCTCCTGCAGAACCCAATCCTGCTGCACCAGCAGATTGAAGAGTAGCTACAACACCACCAGCGACAGTCGGTGCCATTACAGACATCATGGATGCTCCAACCGAACCTGCTGTTATACCAGCCGCGGTAAAACCAGCTGCTCCCAAGGCAACAGGCGCCGCTACAACTGCACCAACACCACCAGCTATAGCTCCACCTATGGCCCCTAACCACTACAATTTAAAATGAAAAACGTGTAAACACTCAAATATAGGGACACTTGAACTTTACGAGCGAAGACCCTTCGAGAAAATCAGCGTATAACGCACTGGTTACTGATTAACGACTCTTTGTCAATTTATATATAATTCCTTTTCTTAGTCAAAAAATATTTTAAATTACAGTTTTAACATATTAAATCATTCCATTTTGTTCTTATTGCTTTGCAACAGGAAATTTCTAACTTGCCAGAGGTTTGTCGCCCTTGAACAGCCATAGTCGGGCATAGAGGTTTAGGGAGTTCATCAAAACTTCATGTTTGAGCGAGGCAACTCTCATCTTCGTTTGATCCGGGTTTGA